TGTCTTGATTTGATTCCAGCATTTCCGCTGTTTCAGAGTTCTTGTCCTCACTACTTACCACGTGGATTTCAGGTCTCTCAGTCTAATTTTCCCAAACTCTGTCAGTCCTTTTCTCACTTCTTAATCTCAGTTGTTCCATATTGTACAAAATAACTTGATCTGGTCTGTGTTTATCATGTGATGCCACAGCTATTTTTAAAGAAGTAATTGCCTAAGGTACAATTCGGTGCCTGATCCTCAACTATTTCAATTTATTTTCAATGGGCATTTAGATGTAGACACATTAAAACATTGCTTTTGTAATTTGTCTCTTGCAGTCTGCATTCTCTTTAGCAATTTCTTCTCAGTCTTCATGCAGTTTTGTCACTAAATTGATTGCTGCTCCTTATATCTTAGTAGCCAGCTATAGGTGTTTAGTTTAAAAATTCTTCCTGCAGCTGCCTTATTCACAACCTGTATCTGAAGTAATTCTTTTTAAACTTCCTTCTTTCAGAATTATAAGGCAGAAGGCAATGTGAGAGGAAAGTAGAACTATGTCTTTCGGAGGGCATTAGCTCCTCTTCCATGTTCTTTCTATTATTGGTGCTTGTGCTCTTTGTATTTCTGTCTGCTTCTTTTTTGCCTCTTTGTTTTTTATTTCCTTCCTCTCCCTCCCACCTCCACCCCCAGAGGATTATAGGAATTAGGAACAGTCAGGGTTGGAGTCATTTATAAATCCACTGATTTATAAACAAGTTGGGTAAGCCATGGAGCTTGTTTTACAATAGAGATTTTACTTTGATTTTACAAGTATTAAAAGAAGGAAGTAAAAATCATTTTATAATGTTGCAGGGGAGAAAGAGCCTAAAATTCATCAGGATTCTTTCCCATTCTCCCATGAACTTAATATTATAATTACACAATCTAATAGGCCTCCCCAAGGTTATATGTCAGTCTGCTCAAAACAGACTCTAAAACTGCCTATTTGGACTCATATATTAGATATGTATGTGACATCACTGCACCTCTTTGGGCCTCAGCCCTCATGTGTTTAGCCCCTGAGGCACTCCAAAGAACATTTACTGGGTCTCTGCAGTGAGTCGGTTTTGTAGAATAGTGGTGGGTTACCATCCTCTGTCTCCTTTGTCCCTCCTCCTTCTCTCTTGGCTCCCCTGCAATGCCAGGCAAGTGTGCTCAGTGCATGGTGCTTTAGCAAGTATAAATTAACAGAAAATCAGTTAGCAAGTACAGCAAAGGGTATAACTGCCCAGAGATGGGCTGCTCTCTTGTGCTGCACTATCACCACCTGCCTCCTGGGTCTCAGGCTGGGACAGGCTTCATCTCACCTTCAGACAACCTGTAGCCCTTGCAGCTGTTGTCTATGGAGCCAGCTCACCAGACAGAAACCTCACCCATCTCACTTGCAGGCGGGACCCAGACTGGATTCCTTTTCCTGACAGTTGCTGCCTTTGTCCCTCCCTTCCCAGCTATCCTCGATTCTTTTTTCCTTCCCTCCCTCCCTTCCTTTCTTCCTTCCTTCCGCTTTCCTTTTCAACTAGTTCACAGTGTTCTTTCCCTGTACCACTTCCTGTGTGGTGGCCAAAGGTTTGTTCAGTGTCTCATGGACCCTGTGATAACAGAGATATTGGATGGTGTGTACCAAGCTGTGGTCTATCAGATACAAGCCCTCCAAAATGTTCTGTGCAGGAAGACTCTGGGGCTAAATATTAATAGCTTTGGATTCCCAGATAGCTTTGGGAAGAGGTGAGCCCCTTTTCCATAAGAAAGTCTTAGAGAAATAGCAGCCCCTGAGTTTTTGTGGAACCCACTGTTGGAAACATCACACTTGATGCTCTCTGAGGCTGGTTGCAGATCTAGAGCTCTAGTTCACTCATTCACTGACAGTTCCCTTGAAAGGCACATGGACCTAGCATGGCTGGAATGAGGTGCCAGACAAGCAACTTTCAGTGGAGGATGGGGGATGGCACTAAAGGTGGTGACAAATCCTTGATGGCTGCAAACCCCTGGGGAGTGAAGCCTTGAAGGCAGGACGAGGGACAGGGGAGGGAGTGGGTACTGACAAACTATGCCCAATTGATCTTTTTGCCAATGGCCCTGGCTATAGCAGTGATGGCTTTAACAAGCATTATCCAGCAGGTCTTACTCATTGAAAAATGTGTTCTGAGATTAATAAGCAGGATGGAGAGGACCAGGCAAGTTAATTCTGTGGCACAGACATGCTCTGCTGTTTGCTTTCCTCTCTCATAACTGAAAGAAAATCTTTAGCAATCTGTCCAGTGGAATAGGAAAGCCATGTAATCAGGATTAGCTTTGAGCTCACACCTCTATGATAAATGAAGGCTCTGTAGGTGAGAATTCATAACACTTTTAATTAAGATAGCTGCAGGGGAATAGAAAGGACCCCTTGGTAAGTGACGCTAATGAATGGATGACACCCTTCTTCTTCCCTCCTGGGGAAAATGAGGCTCAGCTACTAGTTGGTGTAATTAGCACTGAAAGTTAAAAGATATCCCCTTTTCTCTCCTTTCTTTAGCTTTAGAACACCTGAGTTCTTTGTTTTTGATTGATTGGCACCATCTCTTTCTTTTATGAAAGTTCAAGTTGCTTTTGGGTCTTGCCTGAACCTCTTTTGCAGATGGAAACTGGGAGCCTAAGTCCTGCTCTAGAGGGCTGTACCACCTGGTCCTGTCTGAAGCTAGGAGTTAAAAATTCATCTCTGGCTCTTTCAAAACCCTTGCTAGGATTGGTTCGAATGTGTTTTCAGGAAGTTCTCTCATCTTTTTAAAAGAAGGCAACACAAAACAGAGCAGAAGGATAAGGAGATTATCGCTATAGAAATAATTGAATGAAAATTTTATTTCCTACTATACTCGTTGAGGGAGAAAAGAAAATATCCTCCCAAGTAGAAATAAAGAGGAAACAAAGACTTAGAATGTAATTAAAAATAATTGAGGAAAAATAGTCACCCAGAGGGATTTTCCAAGAAGCTGATCTCCCTGACACAAATGGCTCCCTCCTCTTCTTGCTGCTGCTTTGTGATGCAGGAGAATATGCAAGAAAACCACTTCAGGGGCTAGAAGCTTGGGGAAGCCTCTGGCTTAGCTCTGTGAGCAGCGTGAGAAGACACTTTGTGATCCTTGTGGAAAGGTGCTCCAAGGGGCTTCACATGCCAGGTTGGTTTGAAGTGCAAAAGCTGAAACAAGCTTCTCTGAGAAGTTCCAACTCCAGTAGGTTCAAGAGTGAATTCTTTCAAAGGTGCTCTATTAAAATATGGGGACATGGATCACATGAAGCATTAATGGGCAGATCCTTTACATATTATTGAGAAGCAATTGGCTCCAGAGTGTTTTATTTCTTCAAATATTATCCTAATTATATTATCTCCTTAAATACGGTAATGGGTAAGTCTGTGTAATATTTTTATTTCCCTAATTCTGAGTGCTACTTTTTAACTAATAATATAATTTCACTTGCATCTGTGTCTGGTGGAAGCATTAACTGATGGGGTTACCAAGTCATGATTGAAAAGGCTCTCTCCACCTTAAGCCAGCTGCAAACCTTGGCTGCATAATATGATCACCCGGGGAGATTTAAAAAATCCCAATGTCCAGGCTGCACCCCCAAACCAGTTAAAACAGAATCTGGTGGACAGGACCCAGGCATCGGTATTTCTTAAAACTCCTCAGGGGATTCCAGTGTGAAGGGTTGACAGACACTGACCTAAGTGGAAATAAACATACTCTGCAGGGCTGGTGGACCTCATATGTGATAATGCGCATTATTAAAAAACCGTCTCTCTGCCCAGCACCCTGTCTTCGTCTTCCTAGGGCTCCAATGGTCCCAAATGGGGCTACAAGCTCAGGGTGCTTTCTGCCTTCCTCTCAGTGGTGTTTAGCGACCAGATGAATGTTTAGCGACCCACTCCCTGAGATTAAAAAAAGCCCTGGTTTGTAGCATGTGCTGATTTCCAGACTCTGTAAACTCCCACCCTGGTCGATTTCACCTACTGAGTTGCTATCACTGAGCTTGGAGTTGGGAGGAGATGTGCATGTCTAGCTCTGGAGACCAGCGCCTCCTTCCCAGCTCCAGATTTTCTCACCTTTCCTCTGTGTCCACCCCCAAGTAGCTCATTATCCCTTGGGTGGGTTGTCTGGGTTTTGAGCCACCTAGAAAATACTCCTCTGCTTGTATGATACACTGGCTTATCCTGCTCAGGTAAGACCATACCTCCTTCTGGTTAGAGAGTATAGGTGACCTCTGGAAAACACCAAGGGAATGTGCCTAAGATTGGGGATATTTGGGTAATTGGAGTTCTGGGATATACTTTAACCTGTGAACCTGACTAAAGTGAGTTGTCCTAGATACAGCTCTGGGTGCCTGAGCTGATGTATGAGGTTTCCAAGCCTGCAGAGCTGAGGGCCAGGCTGTGAATCAGGATAAACTCACTAAGGTAACACGGGGCTTCACGGGAGGCCGCCTGCCAGCCTTATAGGCTGTGTGCCCCTATATCTCTTTCCCCTCATTATAAAGCACTTTCACTTGACTTTCTCACTGAATTGCTGCAATATACATAGGAAGACTGAGCAGATACTATCTTCCATGTGCCTAAGCTCAAAGAGGTCAATGGAGTGATTCACCCAAGTTTGAGCAACTCACCCAAGCTAGCAGGTGAGGGAGCCAAGACTTGAACCCAGAGCTCTGACTCTAGCTTTACACATACAGCTCCCAACACACAGCCTTGGTCTATCAGCCAGCTGCACCCAGGCATGGGGCCAGTCAACTTAGAGGAGGAAGTGAGATGAAAAGTAACAGATTTCCTGCTTTCCAGTCTTGTGAACTAATTCCTTGCCTGTCTTACTTAGGAAAGCATGTTTTCTGAAATGAACCGTGGGTTTTGTGGTCTAACAAAGAACATATTCCAACTTGATAAATACGAAGTTGGATGAATATGAATGACTCATGCAATAAGAATGGCTAATGAGTTGTGATTCCAAAAACAGAGTCAGGAGCAACCCCTGTCAAGATCACATCAAATCCAGAAGACACCTGGGACTCTAAGAAGTGGCTGCAGAAATATGGCTTAAAGGCCCAGAAGCTGTCATTTTATGATGTCCTTGCAGACTGCTCCTTCCGCCACGCCGATGGAGTTGTTGATATAAAAGCCAAACCAGAAAATGAGTCCATGCAGACCAGTGCGGTAGGTGAAGTGCACTCCTGGGAAGGGCTGTGGCCTCCCCTTGAGCCCTGGTGGGTGAGGTCTCCCTCAGATCAGAAGCTAAGGGCAGGACCATGGTGGAGAGGAAGCAGGAAGGGAAACCAGCTTGAGTTTCCGAGAAGAAAGGGGTCCCTTCTTCTTCCCACCTTTCCCTTCTCCAAAGGGCACCTGTGGGAGTGGAGATCAAGGCTGGGAATGATTTCTAGATGTAAGTGAATTATACATGAGCCAGGGGCTGGGCTTGTAGAAATCAGGCATTATGAGTCTCAGAATTATTCAACATTATGCAAACAGAGAAGCCTTTGTTCCCCCATACTGAATCGAAGATGTGCCTAAGCAGGCATTTCTGTGGTCCTCTTGTATTTTCACAGCCTTAAAGATGCATTAGTCCAGTGACTACCAGTCAGCATATAGTGGAGTCCCAGTAATTATAAAATCAGATTCTTTATAGGATTGTGGCACCAGGTGGTTGTCTATTGAAAACTTTGAAAGCTGTATTTCCATTGTACCAAATGGGTTTCATGGGAATACAGCTTCTCATAGTGCCTGACTCTGGCCCCTGATGGAAGGACAGTGCTCACTAGCAGTAGCTCCTTACTTCCAACCTCCTGCGTAAGAGTGAGGAGGTCTGAAGTGTGGCACAAGAGTTTGCATCCATAACAATCCCTAGATGATGCTGAAGCTGCTGGTCTAGGGGTCATACTTTGAGAACCAGTGAGATGTAGGACAGGAACCAGAGGCTTGGTGTCAAAAGTTTAGAAGTGTAGAAAGACTAGAAAGTGTCACAATATGAAACAGAAAATTCGAATAAAATGAATATTGCAGATTTGTAAAAACAAAGGAAAGCTCTTTCAGGAGGTGGTAAGTCTCAGGTGCACTATGAAGTGAGAGCTAAAATGCAAGCCTGAGGCAGACAGGCCGGTAACCGAGACCCAGTGGAGAAACCTGGGAGAGGAATTCAAGGCCCTCCTCAAATACAAGGTCTCCTTATGTGTTCTTGAAGGCTCTGAATCAATGACAAGATCATTATCGAGACATTTGTAGCTTCAGCAGTGGTGGGACTCCAGACCCTTTGACGCTTGTCATTAGGCTGGTGACCAGTGAGCTCCACATGCCCTCCCCAGGAAGAGCGCTCTGCTTTGGGGCTGCGTTAGCCATGCCATGTTGTGTTGTTGCCCTCTTATTGCTGCATGTTTACGCTGAACTGCAAGGAGGAAAATATAAAAATTGGATTAGAACAATGCAGAATTGACGCAAGACTTGTTTCCGGGCTTATCCTAGGAGGCAGAGTAATTGCTACAGTGCAGGGAAAATCTCATTTGTGGGTTTCCTCCCCCAGCACACTTCTCTGGTTGTGTAGTAGACATTATTCAGTCATGTTCAGGAAATCATGCATAACTGAATTTTCATTTAAAAAAACATTAGACTCCGGATATTTAAAAATATGAATCCCTGTCGATTTGAACATAGCTTACCACGAGCTCATGACAATGTAATATGCTCAAGCTAGCTCTAATACTGATTTCTCCTTACTCTTTCTTGGAAATTTTATTAATAAATGAAATTTTACAGAGCTGGTGTGAAAAATTTGGCATATAAAATGGGAATTTTACTTCAAATTTCTTGTAATAACCAATAATAAAATGGTAAAGGTTGAGAATTATATAGTATAGCCATCCTCTTTCACAAATATTGATGAAAAAGGGACAATTTTATTTTTAGTATTTGGGACTACATATTTGAAACTGGATTTACACCTAAAATTGTGATGTGTATAAAGTAGGGAGAAACTGAGGCTATGAAATAAATAGATTATTTAGGATTCCCTCAGACTCCCACTGGGAAGGACCCCTAAACATTTGACTGTAAAAACCAGTTTATAGGTACCAATCCAGGAAACTCATTTACACTGAGAAATAAATGACAAAAAAGGCCTTGCTATGTAGCAGTTCAAAGATGAATGAACAGGTGGGAGGAGACAAAAATGTATTTCTAATCGGGGAATTTCAGTCAAAGTCCAGTAACTTGATATTTGGGGTACCCCTGAAGTCACATTGCATGCATGGTTGCTTGCTGCTTGTGTATAAAACCAGCCCTGATATCTAAAAACCCATTCTTGTCTCATCATTTATTCCTCTAACAAATACTTGTTGAGCTTATCCTATGTACCAGGCAGTGTGGTGTGGGAGAAGTTACACTGGATCTGGAGTGAGAAGACCTGGGTGTAAATGCTACTTTTTCCGGTTACTAATTATGAGACTAATTATGACAAATAATGTCACCTCTTTGAGCCTCACTTTCCAAATCTGTACAATGGGTGGTATAAAGTGCAGACTCAAAAATGCATGTCTGAGTATGGTGCTTGCCACGTAGGGGATGCCCAATAGATGTTACCTTCCTTCTGTTCTGTGTTACAAACATTGTGAGTCAGAAACAGCATTTATGGAATGTCTTTATGCTTTATGTACAAGGTGAACATTTATGCTCTCATTTTACACAGAAGAAAACAGAATCACAGGACCCTGGAGAGATTAGGTAACTCACTTGTGATTGATCTCATGGCAGGTGGAGACAGGGCTTGAATTCGGGTCCACCAGGCTCTCACACTGTGCTTCTCCCATTGTGACACACTGCCACCTGACACAAAGCCTGCCTTTATGTAGCTGTGGTCTGGTGTTTTTCCATTTGGCTGTGTGTAAGGTACCCTTGGGAGATGCTGTGTGATGAGACTGAGAATAGGGAGAACCATTTTGGTGACAACCCTAGGAATGTGGCGAGAACGAGGGAGAAGACACCTTTCCCCTGTCCTTGCCCTGCGGAAGAGGCGTGCTTCCCTTCTCCGCCTGCCTTAGGAACATAGGACTGATCTCATCGTGCCCTCTGACCCCATTCTCATCAATCATCACCAGACTCCTGAATTCTCATACCTGTGTGGCTCTGAGCATCCCTTCTCTGACCCTCTTCCACTCCTTCCTGACTCCTAAAATCCCTCCACTCTGCCCTCTGGAACTTGAAGTCATCAGCAAACCCCTGATGGCTTCCAGTCCTCTAACGTGTTCCCTTTGCCTGCCTGTCTGGATTCCATGCTTCCCTGCAGCCCTCTGAAGTGGGGGCTGATTCTCCCCCTTTCCCACTGGACCTGTGGGCCAAGGGCTGGGCAGTGGCCTCCTTGCTGCTTCCTCCCTACTGCCAGGCCAGCAGACTGATCTCACTATACCTCCTCATGGCTGTCACCTACCCAGCCCAGGATCACCCCCGTCAGTCCTTGAAGATGACAGCTCTGCTCTTACAATCACTGGCTCCAACCTGTTTGATTCTTAGATATTTCAATCCCATGCAGATGACCCTTCCAGTCCCCTGATCTTTCATTTCTTTGATCCTTTTCTCCTCCCCCACATCTCTGCCTCTGCTACCTGAGGCATACCCTGACCTTGTCATTACAAATAACCATGTAATAATAAGCCACACCCTCAGTTCCCAACGTCCCCCTCTCTGACCACTTACTTGTAGGTCATTTCCTCTGCTGCCCTAACCCCACCAATCCATCCATCCCACTGGGATATGCACAATACTATTTCTACTGCCTTTGCTCTGTCGTCTCCATCCATTTTTCCTTCCCATGCATCCTCAGCCAATTTACACTGTTGCACTCAGCTGGCAAAACTCCTGGTTTGCTGGATTTAATCCTGGTTAAATCCAACCTTCTGCCTTTTCTGGCTTATACCTATGCAGTTGACTGCACTGGTGGAAACTCAAGGAAGCACACAGCCTTGAGGCCTGGTTTCACTTTATTTTTTATATTTTCTTATTTCAGAATATTACAGGGGTACAAATGTTTAGGTTATATGTATTGCCTTTGCACTTCCTGAGTCAGAGCTACAAACATGCCATCCCCCAGACTGTGCACACCGCACTCATTAGGTGTGAATTTACCCATCGCATCCTCCCCCCCACTTGCCCAATACCTGATGAATGTTACTACTATATGTGCACATAAGTGTTGATCATTTAATACCAATTTGATGGTGAGTACATGTGGTACTTGTTTTTCCATTCTTGTGATACTTCACTTAGTAGAATGGGCTCCAGCTCTATCCAGGATATTACAAGAGGTGCTATAGCACCATTATTTTTTGTGGCTGAGTAGAACGCCATGGTATACATATACCACACTTTATTGATCCACTCATGTATTGATGGGCACTTGGGTTGTTTCCACATCTTTGCAATTGTGAATTGTGCTGCTATAAACGTTCAAGTGTAGATGTTTTTATTATACAATGGCTTTTTTTCCTTTGGGTAGATGCCCAGTAGTGGGATTGCTGGATCAAATGGTAGTTCTACTTTTAGTTCTTCGAGGTATCTCCATATTGCTTTCCACAGAGGTCGTACTAGTTTGCAGTCCCACCAGCAACGTATCAGTGTTCCTATATCTCCACATCCATGCCAATATGTGTTGTTTTGGGACTTTTTGATAAAAGCTATTCTCACTGAAGTTAAATGATATCTCATTGTGGTTTTGATTTGCATTTCCCTGATGATTAGAGATGTTGAGCATTTTTTCATATGTTTCTTGGCCATTAGTCTATCTTCATTTGAAAAGTTTCTGTTCATGTCCTTTGCCCACTTTTTAATGGGGTTGTTTGATTTTTTCTTGTTGATTTTCCTGAGTTCTATAGATAGCTTCTAGTTATCAGCCCTTTATCATATGTACAGCATGCAAATATTTTCTCCCATCTGTAAATCATCTATTCACTCTAATGATAGTTTCATTGGCTGTACAGAAGCTTTTTAATTTGATGAAGTCCCATTTATTTATTTTTGTTGTTGCTGTGATTGCTTTTGGGGTCTTCTTCATAAATTCTTTGCCTAGGCCAATGTCTGTTACAGTTTTTCCAACATTTTCTTCTAGAATTCTTATGGTTTCATGCCTTAGGTTTAAGCCTGTCATCCATCATGAGTTGATTTTTGTGAGAGGTGAG